GCGTGTGTGTGTATGGACAATATGTTCGATTTGATGTTACGTCACTGCATAAATTTGTTGTCCTTACTAAGATATTTTCACTACAGTTACATTATTTATTCGACGACATTTTAGATTTTATGTTAATGCATCGCATCATCTACCCTGTTGACGGGACACCGACGAACAGCCCCCCGTTAGCATCTCGCGAGTTCTCGCGAGACGCTCAGTGACATTTATTAACAGTTACATCGCGGCGCTCATTTCACAAATTCACTTAAAACCTAACTATCGCGTTTTACTATTCAGAAACGTCGACGCGAAACAGCAGAGCTAGTAATTAAATTCTCGAGTGATTCGTCGTTGTGCGTGTGTTGTTTTACGTCGGGATCGCGTTCGTTCTCCCGACGTCGGCGTTGATTGCCAACCAGTCGCTGCATGCGCGCCCTCTGCGCTGCACTCAAGGGTCCGTCCGCTGTTTCATGCGAAATTTTGATCTTCGCGCGGACTTTTAATTTTATTTACGACGATTTCACATTTCGGAGCAAGACTGTAGGTGTTATTGTATAGTTATATTATGTAGCTATATATATATATATATATATATATATGTTGTGTGTTGGGTGTGTGGGTGGTTGTGTGTGTGTGTGTTGTGTGTGTGTGGTGTTGTGTGTGTGTGTGTGTGTGTGTGTGTGTGTTGTGTGTGTTGTGTGTGTGTGTGTGTGTGTGTGTGTGTGTGTGTGTCCGTGTTGTGTTTGTGTGTAGTTGTGTGTGTGGTGTGTATTGTGTGTGTGTGTGCGGTGTGTGCGTGCGTGCGTGCGTGCCGTTGCGTGCGTGTGTGTGCGGTGTCGTGTTGTGTGTGTGTGTGTGTGTGTGGCTGTGTGTGGTGCGCGCGCGCGCGGTGTGTGTGTGTGCGCGCGCGCGGCGCGCGGTGTGTGTGTGTGTATGTGTGTTCTGTGTGTGTGTGTGTGTGTGGTGTGTGTGTGGTGTCGTGTGCCTGTGTGTGTAGCGTATGTTAAGATATACTGTTAATGCCGCTAGCGGTAGTGATGATGTCCTTGCTACGAGGATATTTCTCAGCAGACGACCTGCTCGATGATTTATCGAGATGTATTATAATGCGAGCTAATCTAAACTAAAACATCTCGTCTGTCGGGGAAAATTAACGATACGAAGGCGTCGTCGTCATTTGCGTAATGCATTTATTTTGCGACCGTCTTTAGTCACGACACAAATTTGCAAGAAATACGCATAAACCTAACGGACGGGCACGCGTGGAAAATGGAAAAATCATAGAAAATAGCATCGCGGAGAGAATAGATTACGAAATATCTCCGCCCCGTGTACGACGCGGTAGAACTACACCTTGCTGCTTCCTCTTCCCCTCCTAGTCTATAAATCTCCCAGCAAGGCAAAGCCGACCTAAACCTGCTTGTAAAATCCCTCCGTCGGCGTAAGCCATGCGTCGGTCGGTCGTCGTCGTCGTCGTCGGTCGTCCGGTCGTCGGTCGTCGTCGTCGTCCGGTCGGTCGTCGCTTCGGTCGCGTCGGTCGTCGTCGGGTCGGTCGTCGGGGTCGTTCGGTCGGTCGATCGTCGGTCGGTCGTCGGCGGTCGGTCCGTCGTCGGTCGTCGGTCGGTCGTCAGTGAATGACGTGTATACGCAATGTCGTCCTCAGGCTGCAGGCCTATACACGCTGACTCAATCGATCCACTCTGTCTCCCCCCCCCCTCTCCCTTCTCTCTCTCTTTCTCTGTCTCCGTCTCTTTCTCCGCATCTCTCTCTGTCTCTCTCTCTCTCCCTCTCTCTCTCCTCCTCTCTCTCTCTTCTCTCTCTCTTTCTCTCTCTCTCTCTCTCTCTCTCTCTCTCTCTCTCTCTCTATCTCTGTCACACTCTCTCTCGCTACGGGTCAAGGCACCGTGTTTAGAGAGGCCTCGCAAGACTAGAGAAGCTCCGATTGATTGAGCGAAAGCAGGCTGCTACTGCTGGCTGTGCTACTACTACTACTACTACTGAATCTGCTGCTAGTGTTACTACTACTACCACTGCTGCTACTGCTGCTACTGCTACTGCTGGCTGCTGCTGCACTACTACTGACTACTACTATACTTTACTGATAACTGCTGCTAGTGTTACTACTACATGCGCTGCTGACTGCTGCTACGCTGCTGCTAGCACTGCTCTACTACGCTGCTGCTGGCTGCTGCTGCTGCTGCTGCTGCCTCGCTGCTGCTGCTACTTGCGCTGCTGCTGCTATTGTACTGCTACTGCTGCTACTACTACTGCTGCTGCTGGTGCTACTAACTAATACTGTCTGCTCTGCTGCTATCTGCTGCTACGCTGCTACACTGCTGCTGCGCTGCTCGCTGCTGCTGCCGCTGCTATTGCTACTCGCTGCTACTCACTACTACTGCTGCTGCTGCTAACTTACTGCTACGCGCTGCTACTGTGCTGCACTACTACTACTACTGAGCTACTACTACTACTGCTGTCTGCTGCTACTACTACACTTACTACTACTACTGCTGCTGCTCCTGCTGCTACTGCTGCTGATGCTCCTACTGCTACTGCTGGCCGTACTGCTGCTGCTGCTGCTGCTGCTGCTGCTGCTACTATCTCTACTGCTACTGCTGCTACTACTACTGCTACTGCTACTGCCGATACTGCTGCTACTCAGCAGGAGCGAGCTTTGTGTGAGGCTTAACGAGCTTGCCTTCTAGCTACAGTAAATGAAATTGTTAATGGCACCTGATCAGGGCAACCTTCCCCCCTCCCCCTCCCCCCGGGGATGCGCGCGCGCGTGAAATGCATGGCCGGAGACGGAGGACGGAATATGGATGTGCGTGAGCGATGTAAGAGACGTGAGGAGGAAGCGGCCGGAGATGCAGACGAAATAGAATGCCATTGTGAGCTCTCTCTCGCTCTCTCTCTCTCTCCCTGTCTGTCTGTCTTTCCTTCTTCTCTCTCTCTCTCTCTTCTCTCTCTCTCTTCTCTCTCTCTCTCTCATCTATCTATCTATCTCTTTTTTCCTCTCGCGCGCGCTGTCCCGCGCTCTCTCGCTCTATGTCTCTCATTCTCTCTCTCCCTCCCTTCCCCCTCTCTCTCTCTATGTCTCACTGTTTGTCTTTCTCTCGCGTGCGCGCTCTCTCTCCTCTCTCTCTCTCTCTCTCTCCTCTCTCTCTCTCTGCTCTCTCTCTCTCTCTCTCTCTCTCCTCTCTCTTTATCTTTCTCTCTCTCTCGCTCTCTCTCTGTAGCACGGACGCGTGCATGACGTTGCTAACGATGGAAGATGAGTATGGATACTGCTGCTCTCTCTCTCTCTCTCTCTCTCTCTCTCTCTCTCTCTCTCTCTCTCTCTCTCTATCTCTGTGTAGCACGGATGTGTGCGTGTGCGTGATGTTGTCAACGCTGGAAGGCGAGTATAGAAGCACTGATCCATGTAATGAGAGTGTTGACACGGATGGAGAGGTGGGGGTGAGTGGAGTCGGGATGCTGGGATATGTAGAAAGGTTGCTGGGCGGATGCGGCACGAGTGGGGATGCTGGGATATGAAGAAAGGTTGCTGGGCGGATGCGGCACGAGTGGGGATGCTGGGATATGAAGAGAGGTTGCTGGTCGGATGCGGAGTGGGGGGGGGGATGCTGTGCGATGCTATATATGAAGGATATTCTCCGGAATGAATGAGAGATGAGAATGACTACCGTAATCTATGCAGCGAGGATCTTGTCACGAATAGGCGGATGATGCGAGATGATGATCTATGTAGGTTGTATATTGTCAGGGCATAGGCGATGCAAATCTACGCAGGCAGAGCCGCGGGATGAGCTGAATTATGTAGGAAGAGCGCGTTGTCAACGATGAGGAGGAATGAGTGATTGTGCTTGGCTCTGTCAACATGATGAGTGGATCGCGGGGAGGGGAACGATCCTAGAGAGTGTCCCTGTCACCCAGAGTGTGTCATCCAGAGAGTGTCCCAGTCTGCGTGATGCATTGCGGTAATTTACACTGTAGAGGGCGTTATGTTTCTACACAGACTGATCGCGTCGCAAGGCAAAATATTTTAATATAGCTCGACGCATGATAGTGGGTTGTCCGTAACACGTACGCAGGATGGCATAAGAAATAACCATGAATCATTCCCATATTCGGATATACGGACAATGATACAGACGAGGGTGGAAGACGTGAAAAGATAATAATGTTGATAAAGGTTGATCGACGGAATTAATTAAAAAAGACGAGATGCATGGAGTGTCATCGGTGGAAATGCAGTGCGAGGTATTCCCTAACGTAGCTGCTACACTGATCAATCTTCCTGTGGCATGTGCACATCGTGACGGTGGTGCCATCTATGATCGAAGTTTGAATGCATGAGGAAATAACGAACGCGAGTTTTTCATCGGATCTGTCTCGGTAGATGGCGCTATTATCCATGCCGAAATAGATTACAACCGAAAGAATGTCTTGACAAGTTTATTATTACACGTATGCCATGTTTTGATGAAAGACATTTTAATTTGTGGTAGGCTCCTAATAACAAACTCGCAAAAAAACTGTCTACACCTAACATGGATTTACTAAGCATATAAAAATCTGCCATAAAAAATCGTGATGATTCAAATTATTATCAACGTGAACGCAATTGAATAAAAATAATTATATTTTATATAATCAACAAACAGTTTATACGTCTACAATATTTACAAATGAATGCTATCGATGTCCATCGCCAATAATCCACGCAGTAAACTATTCAGGGACCCCGTTGTCAGAAACAAAATTAGTCTTAACATTAGTCATGACATTAACATTTTCTCATAGACTGTTGACACTGATGAGGTTACAGTGGACAGAACAAGTTACGAGCTTCTTATACAGCGGTCCAGACTACGAGGGAAAGTTCATATTAAGGTTAATAGCAATGGTAATACTAACTTTGTTTTCTGCAAACGGCCCCTAGGGCTCCATTCGTCAGCAATGACACGCTAGGATATCGCCCTGTGAGTGTGACCGCGTGGCGCCATCTATAGGTCGTAACAGATACAACGTCGTCGCTTCTCTCCACTTCCAGCGTTCGAGCTGAGCACGCGGCTCGGAATGATTCTAAATCCGGATCCCGTTCCGGTGTGTTTTCCGGCGCTGCTTCCCGTTCCGTATCCGGTCCGTGGCGTCCGTCCCGTCCCGTACCCTCCCTGCCTGTTCGCCGCGCCACTGTTACGCTGCCGAACTCCGTTTCCGCCAAAGATGCTGGGAGCGGACTGCGCCTGTGACGTCAGCGATCCTGGTCCGTAGACGCTTCTCTGCGTGGAGTAGCCGCTAGAGGGCGCCGATCCGCTATTGGAGCCGATGGCGACGCCGACGCCGAAACGCTGTCCCGAATTCGCGTTTTTGTTGATGCTCGCTGGGCCGTACGGTTTGTAGATGGCGGGAGCCGGACGACTGGCAGAAGAGGAGGCACTTCCGTAGCCGCTACTTCCGGTGTTGCCACCGCCGTAGCCACTGCTTCCGGTGTTACCACCGCCGTAGCCGCTACTTCCGGGTTCCAGCCGCGTACGCCGCATTATGGTGTACTCGCCGATACCCGACGCTCCGGTATTACCCCGCCGTATCCCTACTTCGCGGTGGCTTACCGCGAACTGCCGCTATTCGCGGCCCGAACGGTACACCACCCCCGAAATTGCTCTGGAATCCCACCGCCGCACTACCGCCGTTTTCGTTTCCGTAGCCGAGTCCGGCGCGTCGGCTGCCGACGCCCTGGCCGCCGTCCTGCCGTCCCGCCGAGCCCCTCCCTTGTCGCCCTTCGTCACCCGATGGTGGGACGTAGCTCTCCCAGGGGCGGGGGGGGGGGGCCTCAGCCGCGCCCTTGAAGGCCGCGAGTACGTCTTCGTAGCCGTCTAACGCGCCCGTCTGTTCCAGGTCGTAGAGCGTCTTCGGCTGCGTGTAAATGATTTGCGATCGCTGCAAGGGTAAAGGAAGTATATTATTGTAATCGCCTATAGGGTTACTCGTCTCTTACTCTCATCATATACCTATCTCTACTCATCTCTCTCTCTTCTATCTCGTCCATACTCTTCTCTCCTCCTCTCGTCTCTCTCTCTCTCAGCTCTCTCTCTCTCTCTTCGTCGCTATCTATATAATATATATATATAATATATATATATATACATATAATATAGCACGCTTGGTTAGAACATCTTACACGCTATAGTACGCTTAACGCTATATATACGAAGTTTATTATCATGCTTCTATTGTTAAATCCGTTATGTTACGTTGCTTTTCACTCTTTACGTTACATTTGTCAATGAAGAATATACAATATATACAATGCCGTGGAAGATATAACGCTGGGTATTGCGGAATAAACTATTAATTTGTTTTGTTTCTTGTGTTATATTTAGCTTCTAATAGGCGAATCACAGCGAGCGATAAGCACAGGGAACCGACGCCGAGTTAGAGGCACTTGACTTCATCTGTGCAGATAGCTGGGCTCTCCTGTTCACCTCACATACTCAATGTAACGTTAAATGCTTAGCCGCTGCCTCGATCGTCACGGCCGGCTAGAAGGCCTACTCAGCCAGCAGAGCTAATCATTTAGTGTAGCCGTGGCGAACATAAGACTGTACCATAACATATAAACTCAATACGCACTGCGCGTTTTATTCTAGAGCGCAGGAAGTCAAATAAATAAAACAAAATGCGTTTTATATTCAATCCCGATACTACACTATACATAACATCGCAATTCCCTTCTGTTCTATGTTAGTTCATGCGGGCTCGAGACTACGCATTAACTACGCATTGAACACGCATTACTACGCATTAAAATACGCATTAACTACCGCATAACTACGTCATTAACTACCATTAACTACGGCATTACACACACATTAACTACCAGTAACGTACGGCAATAAAAAGTAAAACCTACCAGTAACTACGACATTGTTCTGCGGATTTTCACACATCACTAACGAGACTGCGAGTCGAGCATACGGGAATCCTTACCTTGCTCCCTACGAGTAGCCGCTGGAGCGAAGCGCGTCGCGTCTTCGTCCGCATGCCCTGGCTGCCGTACAGCGACGGCACCCTTTTGACGCCGTCGCCGTCGACGCTGACTGCGTCCGACGATCGCCCCGACGCGTGGTAACCACCGTCGCTCAGTCGCGCCGTACGTTGCCGTCGTCGCGCGAGTCGGGAAAGTGGTCGTTTGTTCCGTATCCGGAGGCGAGAGGCTCGGGCCGAGAGCCCGCCAATGTTGTAGGTGCTGCTGCTGGCCTGGCTGCCGTATCCATCCGCTGCCACGTTATTGTTGTGCGCGCATATGGGGTAGTACTTTGGCTGTTCCTGTGCGTAGCCAGTGTTGCTTGGTTATTGTTGCTTGGTTACGTGCCCGTAGCCTGTCGCTATCCTGAACGGGAGTGCCGTAGCGCCGTGCTCTGCTGTGGTTGCTGATGCCGTAGTGCGCCGTTGCGTGGTTACGCGAGTTTGTACTATAGGCCGGTGTTGCTTTGGATGTTACTTCCGTAGCCATCGCTACCGTTGGTTATAACACGCGTAGCCACTGCTCAGCTTGGTTACTAAACACCATAGCCATGCTGAGCTTGTTACTGACACCAATAGCCATTGCTAGGCTTGGGCTGTGTGCCGTAACGCGCATGCTGCTGTCTATGCGAGGCAAATACCATAAAAGCCTCCTTTGCACTGCTCGTAAACTGCCGTAACCGATGTTGGGACTGCTTTTTGCTCCCGATCCCAGCGCTGGAAATAGGTTGACGGGTCGTATGAGCTGTCGATGCTCCTGCGCAGCGTACGAGTCCATAGGAATACGCCTGCGCACATCATAATGGTGTAAAATTCTGATCTGTGAAAATAACGAGAACACACATAGGTTGTTTATATATATAAGTATACAAATTTATAATATTACATATATATATTGTAATATATAATAATACATACATAAATATAACAACCTACAAAATAACAAAAATATACAATTTTTCCGTATATATTATTATATAGAAAATTCATAAAATCGATACAATTTTGCTCGATAAAATCAGTATTTCTATATTTCATTCTCTTCGCTATCTTTGCAAGATTATCCATAATTAATGACAGGCAAATCTACATGTCGCGCAAACCGCTTATGCGAAGAACGTCTACTGGCTGGCTGTTACGATGCTGTGTTGCTGCTGCTGCTGCGCCGCTGTTATCTGCTGCTGCCTTCACGATTGGCGATAGACTACGTATATGCTGCTCCGAGTGTGCGAAGGAGGGGAGTGGGAGAAGCAGGAAGCACTTTCTAAGGACTCATCCGTCTTTCCGTTTCGCTGGCGCTGTGGATGCGGAGACGACGACTGACCCGCACGGACGTCCGCGCTGTTTGGCACTTCCAAACCGTAATGCGTGACGATCTTAATCTGGATCAGTGCTGCTTATATCAGCGGCCCAACTGGTGGTCGCGGCACGGTTAAGTGGGTCGGTGGTTGTTAGGAGCGACTCCTCGCGCGTCCATCCATCGCCAGCTAGCAGCAGCATCAACAAAAGCAACACACGAACCACCAAGCAGCAGCAAGCAGTAGTAGTAGTAGTATAATTAGTAGTAGTAAGGTAGGTTATTAGTCAGTAGTAGTACGTATAGTATGTATAGTCAGTAGGTAGCAGTAGTCAGTAGTAGTAGTAAATAAATAATGCTAGTAGTATATAGTTAGTTTAGTAGTAGTAGATAGGGCAATAGTAGTAGATATAGTAGTGTAGTAGTAGAATAATAGTCGGCAGCACAGCAGCAGCAACAACAACAACACACCAACAACAACAACAACACCAAACAACAAACCGCTACCTTAGGTTGCGCGCGCCGATCGCACGCCTGCACGCGCGCTGCCATACAAAACATGCATGCACACCATCAACGGAAGGCTCTTCGGCTTGCGCGATTGTTTTGTCCGAGCGTACGTTTTTTTCCTCATTTCCGCCAGTCTTAAAGTGACCGCTGCGCACTGGACGTGTCATTCACTGCCGAATTTACATCTCACCAGAGATGTAATCTAATGAGGAAGACTCGTGAACAGTCAACAGTTGCGGTGCCGCCGTAAGAAAGCAATACATTCACGCATGACTAATGGAATGCTGAAGCGGCCGTGCAGAGGCGAGGTGGGGGAGGGGGGGGAAGCGCCCGTGTCAGATTACCGGAATTGTAGGGCATCCTTTAGGCGTCCTATTGGCGACCTTTGGCTCTGATCTTATCTTGCCGGTGCTTAACGCAACGATCTACTCGAATAGCAAGAGAGGCGGTAGACGAGACGAGGAGAGAGAAGAGAAGAGGAGAGAAAGAGAGAGAGCGAGCAGAGAGAGAGAAAGAGAGAAGACGAGTAGAGAAGAAAGAGAAGAGAGAGAGAGAAGACAGAGAGACAGAGACACTGAGAGAAGGGAAAGATCGGTGAATGGGATTTGATAGTTCGCATATCAATTTATACTAGCTGGCGGGTAACCCGGCTGCGCTGGTAAAAATCGTGCTACTAATTCTACTACTAATAATCGACACAATATCGAAAACATTGGTAATAAATGGAGAATAACACTTGCGACAATACTCAATATTTAACAAATCAGCTTTGATAAGGGCCAGCGCACATGGCTAATAGTTGGGCGTTATAATAATGCGGGTTTAATGGGGTCAGCGAATTTTTGACCGAATTGTTTCGTCTAGGAAACCCCCCGCAGGCATAAGGAAATCGCCCTCTTAAAAGATTGCATCGCAGATCGCTGGGCGCGGTTTGGCCATCGCATAGGCAGGCGCCCGTCGCGGCAGGGGGGTTTCGAAAGGAACCCCCCCGAGCCACCGCCGCAAGCAAAAATTTTTGTTTTGGAAAATTGCAAGAATTTCGCCTCAGGTCGCTCCATTTAGTGTAATGAATTGCAAATCTGCCATCGTGCGGAGGTGAAACAGAACACACCCCCTCCCACGACCCTCCCCCGCTCGGTCGCTTGGCTCCCGCCTGGGCTGCTTCACGCGCCGAGCAGGGGCGTGTACAAAGGGGGGTCCAGGGAGTCCGGACGCCCCCCTTGCTCGGCGCAGAAGAACTCATCTGAAGGGTCTAATTTAAAAAATTCTGGGGGCGCGTGCTACGCAACTTTGGGTTACGGTTAGACGCCGCCCCCCCTGGTACAAAATGCCCTGTACACCCCTGCGAGCAAAATTGCCACATTGAAAAAACGAACGCCCGCGCCAATATAAAGCATCGGCTACGGGGCCTGCATAGGGTACATACATACATACAACATACATCATACATACATACATACTACATACAACATACATACATACATACATACGATACATACATACATACAATACATACATACATACATACATACATAGCATACATACATACATACATACAATACATAACATACATACATACATACATACATACATACATACATACATACATAGCCTACATACATACATAATACATACATACATACATACATACATACATACATAGCATGAATACAACATACATGCATACATACATACATACATACATTACATACATACATACATACGATACATACATACATACATACATACAATACATACATACGCATACATACATGTACATACACTACATACATACATACATACATATCATACATACATACATACATACATACTACATAATACATACATACATACATATCATACATACATACATACATCATAACATACATACATACATACATACATCATACATACATACATACATAGCATACAATAATAGCAATTAATACCTACATACTACATACATACATCCCATACATACATACATACATACAGTACATACATACATACATAGCATACATACATACATACATACATACATACATACATACATACATACATACATCATACATACATACATACATAGCATACATACATACATACATAC